AAAATTCCAATATCCAACCATTCATTGCAACCATGTAAAAACAGCATTGATTTTTTCATTTTGATCTTGTATCCTGTATTCTTAACTAACTCAAATATTAGTTCTACTAGTTTGGGGTGTTTTTTTGTTTTGCTGTGCTGTGTTTTATTTTGTAATTTTCTATGTAGCTAACCTTGCCATTTGTAAGTAGAGTCAGGTTTATTTATTTCATCCCAAGGTATATGCCCTTTTTTCCTTTTCTTTGATGTACTGGCTAGGTCCTTCGATACAGTGTTGACTAAAACTGAGGAGAGCAGGCTTATCTTCCTTCTAAATCTTAAGAGGAAAAGCATTTAACCTTTCACCATTAAGTATGGTGTTCACTATGGGATTCTTCACAGATTCCCACTCTCAGTTTGAGGATGTTCCCATTTCACTCCTCTTTTCCCAAGTGTTTCCAGTATGAGAGGATGCTGATTATTTGAAGCTCTTTTGTTTGTTTTGTTTTTCAGTATATGACTTAGAGAAGTAGACTGATTGACTTTTGAATGATGACCAACCTTCAGTTCCTGGAATAGAACCACTTTGTTATCATGTATTATCATTCTTACACATTGCTGGATTTGGTTTACTGATATTTTGTTAAGGAGTTTTATATTTATGTTTCCTTTGTTGTAAAGCCTTTTGTTTTTGTTTTGATATCAGGTTACTCCTGACTTCCTAAAATAAGTTAGGAAATTCCCTTTCCTATCTTCTCACAGAGTTTGTGTCAAAGTGGGGTTATCCCTTTCTTAATGTTTGATACTATTCAACAATGAAGCCATCTGGACCTGGAGTTTTCTTTATTGGAAATTTTAAAATTATTTTTTAATCTTTGAAGCAAATTTCTTTAATTCCCTTAGAACTACTGGCTGCTCCTGACTGACCATCATTTAACTATGTATAAACTACATAGTGTTGAACCGACTCCCAACAGGCTAATATGTTAAAATTTTGAGGTGAATATAATGGTTTTAAATGACAGATTAGTGCTATTTTTGCAATGTGCATCAAAGTATTATTTTTTCTGTATTATAATATTAAAGATGTTTGAGCTGTATCTGGAAGTGGTTCTTTCACTTTTTCATGCCCAGAAAGCTACACTATGTACTATAGAAAAAAAATTACTAAGTGATTTTACACAAGAACTGTACCTACCTGTTCCTACTTATATACAAACTGAATTTAAAGACAGATTCAGAAACAGAGCTTGTTTGGAATCAGGGACTGGTAGTATGTGAGCTTTCTGTGCCGCTATAACCAG